TTCTTACCTAATCAGTTTTTGATGATTATCCTAATGTGTATTATTTGTTTTTATTGTTCATGTGGGGACTGCCACTATTTCTGCATTGTATAAAAACCAGTATTTCTGTTCAATAGAGTTGCTCCATTTTTGCACATAAGCTAGTGTGCTATAATACCTTGGCCCTGTGTCCCAGTGGTGAGGAAGCAGTTCTCTGACAGAAACACCCAATTGGGGAGACAGGCGGTCCGTCACAACAGGAATATATCATGTATGAATTTAAGGCTGAAACCATACACCAGAGTACATTTGAGAGTCCTGTCAAGTCTCGGAAAACAGTACCATAAAACTAAGTTCAACAACCCTGAGAAACAAGACCAACCAGGCCCAGATATCAAGACAAGTGTGGTGGAACTTCACACCATATAAGTTCACGCAGTGAGGGGGAATATGCAGCCCCTAAGGCGTGCAGGCAACCGTATCCTGTAGATAAACAATACCAGAAAAAGCTGTGTGTAGGAAGAAAACAGCAGCTACACATCATCTGCCATGTTTCATGGTTTCATTAGGCACTAAAGAATGCAGCCCGGTGGGTTAAGTTCATGGTCCAGCCAGTTCATAGCTGAAGTGAGGTTATCAAAGAATTGTGTGGCACCATTGGCAATCACATTGAGCTTTACAGGGTACAATATGGCGTACACCTAGTTTGCGAAGCTTCTGCTTAATATGAAAGAATTTTGCCCACAGGCGTTGCACTTCAGAGGAAAACTCTGGATACAATGATACAAGAGCATTATCCAACATTAACTCAGCCACATTCCTAGCACTGGTCAGGATAGCTTCATAGAATTATAGTTTAGAAGGCAAAACAGGAAAGGTCATGGAGGAGCCCCTGATGGAGGAGGTGCTGGAACTTGATGTGCTTGTGCCAAAGTAAACATTGGTGAAAAGGCCTCCTTTCCGAACGTTTCGATAAGCTAGGATTCTATGAAGGACACAGGGTTCTCCCCCTCAGCCCATTCTGCGATACTAACTGCTCTCACATTATTTCAGCATAGCTGGTTCTCCAGATCCTTTAATCTGGTTCTATTAGAAGAAGCAACTGAGTGTATGTAATGCGCATCACATTGCAGTGGATGCAATTCATTTTATAGAGTGCCCAACTACCCTTCCATTGCAATAGTCTCTCAATTTATGCAAATCTTGCCTTACCAAGGAGAATTCCACTTTCATACCCTTAACCTCTCCAGCACGGGCAGCTATAGAGGAGTTACATGTGGTGTCAGCTACAAGAATATGCCTTAGTACTGGTTTAGGGTCTGTTTCAGCATGCTGGAGGACAGGCGCCATGTTAAGGGAGGCAGGCTAAGTACTCACTGCAATATCAGAGCCAGGGCTTTCCATGTCACCAGGCAGCAGTTGTAAACTGCCCGCATCTTCAGAGTCAATATTCTTATTATATTATTACTATACAGGATTTATATAGCACCAACAGTTTGCTCAGCACTTTACAAAATGAAGGTAGACATTACAGTTGCAATACAATTTGGAACAAGAGGAAACAGAGGGCCCTGCTCGTTAGAGGTTACAATCTAGGAATCATAGGCATTGGGTGGAGGAGTAGCAATAACAGCCTCCTTAGCTAAGGACTTTGCAAAGAGCTGCTGTGCTGCCTCCTTCTGCTTCTCTTTAGCAGAGTGGGGTGGGAGGCCGCCATCTTGTCCCGCTTAGTCCAGCACCAGTTATGCTTCTTTACCCTGTTTAGCCATCACCAGGACACAAAGATGAGCCAGCAATCTGCAGCGGGAAGGTACAAGTAACAGTCCGGACACCATGGGAGCAGGAGCAGATAAGTGAAACTGTGCCAATCAGAATGTAACCAGGATTACCAGTGGAGTTACTCAAAACCACATCCTGCTACATGCAGTGCTGGCCATGCCTCCATCCTGAAACCTTAGTCGGTAGTTTCAGTTATTAGCATCCAAAATATGTGACATATCTGATGATCTCCTATAACACCAAAATGATCACCAATACTAAGGAAATACTGTATATATCACTTTTAATCTCTAATGTGAAACAGACTATTTGATCTATCTTCTTGAATACCCATGTTGTCTCCAGTATGTGGGCAGAGCCACACAAAAACTAAAAATGATAGCTGGGCAACACCAAAGTAATTAACTAAAGGGTTCCTGGATCACAGTGTTTGTAAGCATGATGCCCTGGCTCACAAGAAATGTGCAGACAGTATTAAAGTTACATCAATGAAACACATTTCTTCTTTTAATCTGTGTGATTGAGTTTACAAAGTAAAGGCAAAACAATCCTTTTGGATATTTAAATTAAAAACACCTCACTCTGATGACCTTAACAAAACAATAGAATCTGATTGGTATACAGATATATACAGATTATAATATACAGATTATATTCTGTGTCAATAGACAAATACAGCGGGGCTCGGGAGCGAGCCCATATGTGTGCCACCGCAGGAAGTAGCTTTCTATGGTGGCACACGGAGAAGAGGAAGAACCAATAGCACTCAGAAGAGGAGGACTGGGGCTGCTCTGTACAAAGCCATTGCATAGAGCAGGTAAGTATAACATGTTTATTATTTTAATCTTAAAAAATTGGAAGCTTCAATGTCACTTTAAGTTTGCCATTTTCTTTATCTGAATTAATATTATTGTATTTTACATATTGTTATCATGCTGGTCTGTTCCTATTCCCTTGTATTAATCAAAAACAATGATTCAGCTTGTCATTCTTTCCTTATAAGCCTATGATATTTTTGTTCATTTAATCTTATTTAATTAATTTATCTTATCTTTATCTTGTTTTATATTTCTGTTCAAGAAGATCTATTACCAGAAAAACTGTGTTACACTCCCCGGGGTTCCCTGTGCACATAGCTTTAGTCCCCATTATATTCTGAACAGTGAAAGTAAATAAAGATAAATCTTTATTTTCTGTTACTGCTGGATGTAGCTCCACCTCCTCTGGGGGGAGTTACAACCAGGACCGAGCCCCGCCCACTCTTCATCTGCAGTGCTGTGTCTCCTCATCTCTCCTGTTTAGTACACCCAGAATCCAGCGCAGCAGCCTTCTCAGAGAGTGGATACTGTCAGCTGTGAATCATTTCAGCGGGAGAAAGGGCTTTCAATTCACAAAAACACAAGCTGACAACTGCACACACCAACTACCACACTATCCAGGACAATTCGATCTAGTATCTGGCTTGTACTGTTGTCAGCTTGTGTTTTTGTGAATGAAAGTCTGTTCTCGACATTCAATCATTCACCACATGAGCTGACAGTTTCCACTCTCTCTATTCCCCTGAATAAAAGGCTGCAGTTCCAGACACAGTGAAAACTTGAGAAGAATGATGAGGAGACAGCACTGCACGATACAACAGAGTTTTGTCTGAAAGTTTAGGATGTGAGGGACTGAGTTTGTGCGGGCTCAGTGTGCACAGCCTGTCATGCCCCTCTCCTCCTGATCTGTCTCTCAGAACTCTGTCTCCGTTGATCTGCATTGTTGGATAGCTAGGTAGGCGTAGGCGTGCAGGGTTAGTTAGCCAACATCACAGCTCAACAACCGATGCACAGATATAAATGGGGACAAGTGTCATGCGCATAGGATCCCCTGGGGGGTTAACAAACTGTCTTTTCTTCTGGTGATAAATTTTCTTTAATGTATCATTTTATTATTCAATGTAATTTTCACTAAACTCTGTGGGAAAATTCCCCTGCACAGCGCAACTTCCTTGGAGAGTTAACAGTCTATTTGCCTTTAGTAAATCAATCCCTAATTCTCTACAGGTGCTGGTTGCATGTACCATAAATGTATAGGTATCCACAGCCTTCAAGATATTAGTTACACCACCTTTTTTCACTAAACATACCTAATGTTTTTCTTCAACTGAAGAATATTAACTATATACTACACATTAAGAGCTCTCCTATCTCACCCCCTTTCCCTTTTCTGTGCACTTTTCTGTTTTTACACTCTGAACACCACTAAATAGGATAAGGATCTTCTCTATTACTTTTCTACTACTGGGAGACCCTCCAGCATAACCCACGCCATAGTTTAGAAAACATTCCTGTGAATCTGTTTTAACTTGTTAACTAAGTTAAGTTCTTTCAATTGACTTTGAATCAAAACCAGAACAAAAAAGAAGCCTAGTAGCACAGTATTCTGTACCTTGTGGAGAGGGCCATGTTGGACAGCCTCATAAATTTGCCTATAGCTTCTGCCTGATATCTTCTGACATCTCCTGTCCAAGCATTCTTGGATGATTAATATATCAGTCACTTGAATAGTTGCATGTACTTTCCCAGCTGACAAAAACATGCATGTTTGCTCAATGAGAATGTGCTTTTGCACAACTCTCTATAATAAGAAACATTGTTCAGTGGGCAGATCATACATTCATGGACATCCAACATCTGGTGTCTGTAGGTAAAGGCTTGTGTATAAGAATATTTGTTCTCATCAGAGCTGCTTTTTCCCTAGAAATATCCGAATGGGAATGGAAATGCAAAAGTAACTTGATGCGAGCTTAAAGTGGAGCTTTAGTCAGAAAACTGAGTCCTGTTAGATCACTTCAGGCTGGCCCCTTTTGCAGGTATAGCTATGTAAAACATTAAAATTACTGTATTTTGCTCTCATTAAGACGCACCTGACCATAAGACGCACCTAGGTTTTAGTGGAGGAAAACAGGAAAAAAATATTCTGAACCAATGGACTACAGACATAGTACAGGAGATGACCAGAGACTGCGGACATACTTCAGGAGATGACCAGAGACTGCAGACATAGTACAGGAGATGACCAGAGACTGCGGACATACTACAGGAGATGACCATAGACTGCAGACATAGTACAGGAAATTACCAGAGACTGCAGACATAGTACAGGAGATGACCAGAGACTACAGACATATTACAGGAGATGACCAGAGACTGCGGATATACTACAGGAGATGGCCAGAGACTACAGACATAGTACAAGAAATTACCAGAGACTGCAGACACAGTACAGGAGATGACCAGAGACTGCAGACATAGTACAGGAGATGACCAGAGACTGCGGACATAGTACAGGAGATGACCAGAGACTGCAGGCACAGTACAGGAAATGACCAGAGACAGCAGACATAGTGCAGGAGATGAACAGAGACTGCGGACACAGTACAGGAGATGACCAGAGACTGTAGACACAGTACAGATGACCAGAGACTGCGGATATACTACAGGAGATGACCAGAGACTGCGGACACAGTACAGATGACAAGAGACTGCAGACATAGTACAGGAAATGACCAGAGACAGCAGACATAGTGCAGGAGATGACCAGAGACTGTGGACATACTACAGGAGATGACCAGAGACTGCAGACACACTACAGGAGATGACCAGAGACTGTGGACACAGTACAGGAGATGGCCAGAGACTGTGGACACAGTACAGATGACCAGAGACTGTGGACATACTACAGGAGATGACCAGAGACTGCGGACACAGTACAGGAGATGACCAGAGACTGCGGACATACTACAAGAGATGACCAGAGACTGCAGACACAGTACAGGGGATGACCAGAGACTGCGGACATACTACAAGAGATGACCAGAGACTGTGGACACAGTACAGGGGATGACCAGAGACTGCGGACACAGTACAGGAGATGACTAGAGACTGTGGACACAGTACAGGAGATGACCAGAGACTGTGGACACAGTACAGGGGATGACCAGAGACTGCAGACAGTACAGGAGATGATCAGAGAAGGCAGACACAGTACAGGAGATGATCAGAGAATGCAGACACAGTACAGATGACCAGAGACTGCGGATATAATACAGATGACCAGAGACTGCGGACACAGTACAGGGGATAACCAGAGACTGCGGACACAGTACAGGAGATGACCAGAGACTGTGGACACAGTACAGGGGATGACCAGAGACAGACAGTACAGGAGATGATCAGAGAAGGCAGACACAGTACAGGAGATGATCAGAGAATGCAGACACAGTACAGATGACCAGAGACTGCGGATATAATACAGATGACCAGAGACTGCGGACACAGTACAGGGGATAACCAGAGACTGCGGACCTTTGGGGAGGGAGGGGGAGTGGGTACCTGAATTTGACAGGTACCTGCTCCCACTTCCGCAGAGTTGTCCTCCCTCCCCGTCTTCAGGCACACGTGACAGGTCCCAGAAGACTGCCCGACCATTCACAAAGCGCAGTGCTTTTCACGCATGCGCAGTGGGCACCTGGCTGTTACAGCCGGGTGCCCACACTATAGATGCCGGTACCAGGGGAGAAGACTGTACAGCGCTGGACCGAGGAACAGGTAAGACTTTGCTACAGAGAAGAGCCGAGTGGCCGGCCCGGTATTCTGACTCGGCGGTGGCAGGAATACCGGACCATATTCGCTCCATAAGACGCACAGACATTTTCCCCCATTTTTTGGGTGGAAAAAAGTGTGTCTTATGGATCGAAAAATACGGTAGGTGTCTATGCTGTTTTAAATCTAGTGGTGCACTGGCTCACTCTGCTCTGCACATGCTCAGTTGCTCTCCATTCTTGGCACTGTACCTAAAATAAGAGCCACTAGCCACCAATCGGCTGACAATTTTAAGATTTACTGTTGATAAAGGCGGAAGGAAGCAACAGGGATGACACAGACTGTGCATACAGAACACAAATTAGGGAGGCAGAAAAGAAAAGCAGGAGAGGGACAGGACAAACTCTGCTGCCAGGGAAATACAGAAGAATTACACTTACAAGAATAGTATCGTTTCGTATCTCCCTGATATTGTCTCCTTTCTTCATTAGCAGCCTGGGAACTTCAGCACTGTAAAGCTTCTCTAAGCCTTCCTCTCTAACCGAACCAAGACATATAATCAAGGGTACAAATGTACATATTTTATTTGAGGAAAGTGCCATATAGTTTTCGAGACCGGGAGGGGGGGGGGGGGGTTCTATTAAGGAAGTGGCCGCTCTGGGCTTTAGGAACATGTCAGCCTTCAGTAAGAAGAAATATGAGCAATGCTGGAGGCAATTTACAGCGCACACTAATTTTGGTAGCATAATTATGAATGTGGAATGTATGCTCTTTTGCCACTTGCCCTCCAGAGCATTTACCCCCTTTCCTGACCAGGCCATTGCGCAGTCATGCAATGCTGCACCCAAATTAAATTTACGGCCTTTTTTTCCCGCAAATAGAGCTTTCTTTTGGTGGTATTTGATCACCTGTGCATTTTTAATATTTTGCTCTATAAACAAAAAAGACCAATAATTTTGAGAAAAAAACTATATTTTTGACTTTTTATTATTAAACATGTCCAATAAAAAAAATTTAAAAAACAAAATTTCTTCCTAAATTTAGGGCAAAATATATTCTGCGACATGTCTTTGCTTAAAAAAAATCCCAATACGTGTAAATTAATTGGTTTACATGAAAGTTATAGCATCTACAAATGGTGGTATATATACCGGATTTTTTTTTTTTTATTTTTGTTTTTTTACCAGTAATGGCGGCATTAGTCACTTGTAGCAGAACTGTAGCGGGCATTCCAACACTGAGGGGAACTGACTTGGTGTCACTGACATCCCCAGTGACACCAATACAGTGATCAGTGCTAATAAAAAGCACTGACACTGTACTAATGGCACTGGGCAGGAAAGGATTAACATCTTGGGCAATCAAAGGGTTAACTGTGTGCTGTGTGTGTTTTACTATGAGGCTGTGTTTGTGCTTTCCACTGCAAGCGCACTGCTTTGTATGGCTCTATTATGCAGAGCCACACAAAGCAGTGTGCAGGAGCTGACAGGGGAAAGAACTGTATTGTTTACATACAGTTCTCTCCCCTGTCATAATACTTGGCGATCACTGGGTGCCGGTGAGCAATCACCAGCAGGGACCCAGTGATTGACAGCCGAGGCCACGAATGGTGGCACGGCTCGCACGCGCCCCCTACCTGGAACTGCAAAATCATGTATTCTATTTTCAGTACTTTCTGAGTCACTTACCTGGAACAAGTATGCAGTCAGAACTTCTCATCTGCTAATGTGTTCTGCATTTTCAGAAGATGATTAGTATTGTGAACTCTGAGATATGTAGGTTCACAGGGCTACTTACCTGCGTGGCTGTCAAATTGGCACCAGCGGCTGTGTCTTTGGAACAAATGCATCCCCACAGACATGAAAGGGTTGCCTCCATGCAGCACCTGGTGGCTGAAGCCACATAACAAGCCACTCATTCACAGACTATGAGTGTTAGTGCTCATCTGAATTAGGCTGTAGCTACACTTGACATTGTATTTGTTTTTTAACAGAAGGTTCAACTCCTTCTTGAGATCTGAGGTAGTAGGCAGTACACTCACTGAAGCAATTGTTCTGGTTAGGCTACAATAATTCTACAGAAAAGTCATGCAGCAATGACACCTTATTTTGCTATCCTTAACTTCTGCATAGACATGAGATGATATCCATGGAATCAAGCTGTCATTGACTGGGCCTTATGACCATCTCATGTATGTGATTTGCAGACACAGCCTCTGTCTGACCACTCTCAGAGGTACCTATCAATTTGGCAGGTTGGAAAGCCACCCTAAATCACTATTGTTTCTCCCTGTAATAAGCTGTGGTAGTGTCTGCCAGAGTCGACCTTTCCCCTCTTTCCTCATCCCATTGACATTAACACTTTTGGCCAAGATAGATGATCCATTCTAGGGTGTGTTCTATTGTGCCAAGAAGCATAAGGCCTCAGATTGTACTTTCACGACTCGCCACCTCCTATGTCCATGGACATTCTAATTTTTCCCTTTCTCAATGCAAATCCTTCAATTTCAATCTTCATGGTCAAATTTAATCATATAAAAGCAAGTCAAAAATTAGGTAAATGTCACAATAATAACTGAAAATGTCTAACTGACCATACACCCAAGGGCTCATTCAGATGTCCACACTGCATTGTGGTGTGTTATCACACTCGTTAAAAGAGAAGTATGGCTTTGGGTTTTATTCCCAAATTATACATACCTAAGTGGATGTAGCATAGGTCCAATTCTGCATTTGTCCCCCACCGGCTCTAAGTGTGAGAATGCAGTGATCACATGACTACTGATCTCTGAGTTCTCACAGCCACTCTGAGAGCAGTGACTGTCAGTCACCGCTCTCTGCTCTGCCCCCCCCCCCTAGCTCTCACTGGAGCGCTGCCTGTAGAGGAGGAGGGAGTGGCTGGCTCTGGCTCTCAGTGGATAGCCAAGAGGCTGAGCCAGGTGCCGCTTCAGACTCTGGGGTGGATCCCGACTTTAAAGTCAGGAACTTTCCCCAGCCTGGACCGGCTGAGTGACGTCAGCCGGCAGTGGGCTTCAGCCCACTGTCAGCTGAAAACGAGTCACAGGAGTGCAGAACAAACTGCGCTCCTGTGATCCACAAGAGGTGTACACCCAAAAGAGCTTTGGCTGTACTTCTCCTTTAAATAGCATTGTGCTTACACCACAATGCAGTAAATACAGTATAAGACATGTACTACAATGTATTTTTCCAGCACAATGCATCCCAGCACACAGTATTGCATTACCGTGCATTTTGTTGTGTTGCAAGGCAACTGCATTGAAGGTGCATCAGATAAGTGTGTTGGGGTGCCATTTGAAATGAATAGCAATGCACCACGGTATGTGTGTTGCCATGCAGCAACCTAACACCCACATTTCATTAAAAAAGCCACAGATGCTGCCGCTAATGTCACTGTGTTACTATGATGCAGACATTGGATTGTAAGATTCACTGAGACAGGAACTAATTTTACTGATTCGAAGGTTAAATGAATGTTTTTATAAAGCTGAATAGTTATTGCTGGTGAAATGGCTAAAGCTAAAATTACGCCTTGGACCTTTCTAATGTATTGTATACCATTTAAGTTATAAATGAAAGAACAAAGTTTAAAACACATCCTATAAATCCATATGTAGGTCTACCAAAGGATGCATGGTGATGTACTACTGATAAGCTGAAAATAATTTGGCCCATAACACAGGCACACACATATGTTTTTATTATTTCCAAATGTTTTTATCATCTGTTTATTAAAAGACGTATCATGTTTAGGTTTTAGAGTTCTAATGTTCACATGAATTTCACAAAATGAAGAGTAAACTGTAGTCAAGAATTTTCCAAAACAGATAGATTCTAGAATTATTGTGTAGTCTGTATTAACCAGACAAACCTAATACAAAAATAAACAAGAAATACAACCAGGATTACAAAAGTATGATGTAAGCAAAGTCTCCATGGACAATGAGCCTGGCTGTAATTAGAATCTTATTTCTAATTAGGTATTCTAGTAAATGTTTATCATTTGGCTATTCCTTTATTAATAAATAGGCTTTTTTTTAATACCTGTGAAAAAAGAGGTGATGTGTTTAATTTAAAGTTGGCTGTACTCTAGTTTTTCACAAGAACATTTATATGAAAGTTCTTATCGGTATATTCAATCGATTAATGAATGTCATTCAAAAGTATTTTTTAAAATGTTTGCTTTTAACCACTTGAGCTCCAGAGGATTTACCCCCCTTAATGACCAGGCCTCTTTTTGCTACTCGGCGCTGCACTAATTCAACTGATAATTGCGCGGTCATGCAATGCTGCACCCAAACGAAATTTACGTCCTTTTTTTCACACAAATAGAGCTTTCTTTCGGTGTAATTTGATCACCTGTGCGCTTTTTATTTTTCACGCTATAAACAAAAAAAGGCCAAAAATTTTGAAGAAAAACA